TCGATACACTGGTATCAACAGGTACATATTGGTCAAACTAGATCACAGAAATGGATCCAGTATCCGAAACTGCAGTCGTTGCTTTGGTCAGCAAACAAACTTGGTTATATCACTCATAGAATAAAATTTTGGTTGCATCAATCACTGAGGACCAGTAAATATGAATACGACCAATGACCAGTCATATAGTAAATACTTCATTTTTTGTGAAACTAGACAGTGTGGTCAATATGCCAGTATCATATTTGTCCAACTGATTACTGAAACTGATACTGGATCAAGATTTAAATCCTTTGCACCACTAGACAAACCTTTATTAGAACAAAGAAAGTTCCAAATTAATCATCCATTCTAACGCACAGTAATTCTGTTCATTAAGTATATTCATAACGACCACAATCAGAAACAAGAATCAATCATAATGATGGATAATTTGTATGATACTTCCAGCTCTCAACATGAGTCAACTAATGTGCACATCCCAACACATGGTCTCTCAAAATAAGATTTAAAAGATGTGCAAACAGACAATGAGAAGACAAGATATTGCAAACTATAAAAGGAAAAAAAAAACCTTATTGGTAAAGAAATAGTAGAAGAAAACTAAAAAAATCAAGTCCCTATAATGTCATGTTCACAAAATAGGAAGGCAAAAGGTTTACAAAGTTCTTCTGCAAGTATAATGGTGGAACACCTTAAGTGACACATCTAACTGACATATAAAGGCAATTGTTAAAAATAAGAAAAACAAATCAGGAAACCTTTTGTATTGACAGTAATATATATTGAGATTGGCAAGGATGATATGCGCAGGATTGACAGGATCGACTGGATCAGTTAGAGACAAAACTGAAATATTACATCTTAAAATTTTCTGGGATCCATAGATTGAAATCAAGGTCAATGTTAAGGCAAGTAAGCTTGGTAGGCTGTGGCAAAAACTTAAAATTTATGTAAACCATCTCTTTTCTGAAAATGAGGACACAGAAAGACACTATTGTGTGCTTTAAGATGCTGCTGACTGAATTGCTTATGCCAAAACTTCTAAAGAAATGGTCAAAAGATTTATCAACTAAGAGACATGCCACCAAACAAATGGGTCAGCAACTTGTTGCTCCTTGCCTGGCTTACAGCGAAATATTACACTGAAATCTAGGTTGAGCTCACGGCATACTCTAAAACACCATCATGCGCATGTAGCTTAATTATGGAGATGCAAGATGATTGTGTAGGAAGAAGAGAACAATTTTGTGTGGGTGATTCAATATTCTACAAATGATCCTAATTCCACAGAGCATGATGGTATATCATGTTACTAAAAATGATAAATCAAGAAAACTAACATGTCCTTACAATAGCCAAAAATGCTAATTTTGACTGGTTATCTCAGGTGTCAGAACATTGAACCATTTGCACAAAAAAAAAAAAAAAACAAGGGAAAGAAGCATTAGCACCAAGAGAAGTAAAAGCAAAATAGGAAGGGAAAGTAAGAAAGAGATGAGGAAAGAAAGTAAAAAAGAGAAAACAAACTACTAAGTTTTAACTCCTTGTATGCTAACTCAATTATCTATCTCATTTCCCTTTTGATCAAAGGAAGACATTCTCTTTTATCAGTTGGTCTCTTGTCCTTTATTAAAAAATGGCTTGCTTTAACAAAAAAAAGTTCTAATGTGATTTTTTGTATCATATAAATCTAAAGGATAGTAGTGAATACAGAGATCATAAGAAATAAGTAGGTTGCATGTTCTAACAACCATTTTTTTTAAGAGAAGCAAGACACATGCCTAAGGCATGCCTACCCTCATCCAAAGAAAACCTGAAAACTAAGCCTCATGAATGAACTTAGCTTTGAGAACTTTATGTAAAAGGTTCAACATGAAAGCGGCACAATATGACACACATCAAATTAGGGAAATCAAATACACTCTTCTTTGATTATTTCTGACTAATTTCAAGTAGCCCATGCCGCCATGCAAACAATCTTTAAATTCAATAGGGTTTTCACATTGTTTTAGCTGGACTAGTGATACTAAAACATAAATGCAATAAGAAATAATGACATCTGAACCAAAATATTATATGAATAATGGCATATTTTTTAATCTACCAGGGACCTAAAACTTATATATATATATAATTAAATTATTGCATTGCATGAGGCATGAAAGGACTAATCTATCAAGAACACATCAGAAGTGGTAGTTTAACCACAAAATGAAGATACAAGGCTGAAAGTAAAATCTCAAATTTTTGCAATAATAAAATACACAGAAGCAATCGAATATAGATACTATGAAAAGGATTCGTTATTATATGAATGAATATCTTTTGGATCATCTCAGCCAAAAGATACTATTACCCAAGCATATAAGATTTAAATGCTACACCCCATCAAATATTATAGCACACACAATTCTGTTCTATACCAGACTTAACACACTAACGATGATCTTAGTACTTTGATAAAATACAAATACAATTAGAAGATATTGTTGGGAGAAATAGCCTGAAAGTTTAAGTTAATCCATTAGCTAGAAAAAAATAATGCAATTCTTCCTACATGAAAAAGAGAAGACAAGGCACCAATTGTAAATTTGAAGTACATGCCACTACTAAATGTTGGTAGTGAGTAGTAATTCTCTAGTTTAATAAAATTATATATACAACTATTAATGAGTGAGATAATTACCGGAGATGAAGAACGAAATACTACTCAGGCAATCAAGCAAGGCAGTTCATTGTCTAAGCAATGTGCATAAATTTTGCTTGGTGCATTCATTCCAGTACTTCTCCCAAACATCAAGAATCTGCTTATAGAAATCAAAGAAGCAGCACAATACACAGAACTAGCTAAAAGAATTTCACATATGAAAGGCCAACTGGAGAACTAATAACAACATGTTAGTCATAGTACTTCTTCACAAAAACAAAGGAATAAAGAACAGAAAAGGCATGTTGATATCTTAGCTGTAGCTGGCATATTTAATGTTTCATAACTGAATAAACCAAGGAGTCAGAATACAAAGTCCATCTAATCTCACTGCAATTAGGGAAGCAATAAGGAGCAGCATAGGATGAAAGAGCAACTACAAGTTTGCTTACCAGTCCTTGCATCCCTCACACTGGACCATGAGATCATCAGGGTTGTAAGGCATCTCACACTTGCAGTACCTGAAATGCAAGATGACACTCGCTTAATGGACATACAATTACAACAAAGATAAGATCAAGATTATGAAGAAAGAGAACCAAAGCAGGCAAAGCCTACACGGCAACACGATCGGGAGTGAAGGCTCCGGTGGCCGCCTTGTACTCGAAGCGGCAAAAATAGTCCTCGGCGCCGACATTCTCCAGCTTGGTGTAGTTCTTGAAGGAGTGGACGATGCACTTGCCCTCGATGGTGTGCGCGCTCTGCATATCGTAGTGATCGGAGAGGAACAGCTCCTTGGCGCCGTGGAACTGTCGGCGGCCACCGATCGACTCCTCGGGGCGGTAGTACCACCGCACCCGCACCCGGACGTTGTTGCGGTGGTCCGCCTCGATCTTCTCCACCCGCGCCACGTACGGCGGCTTCTCCGACTCCGCCGGCCGCATCAGCACGCAGTCGCTCACTACGCCCCCCGACATTATAAAAAGCCAAAACAGAGAAATGGATCGAACAAGGCCGCGATTAGCACACAAATCTGGAGAATACCTTTGACGACCTTGTTGGTGCCTTTGATGGTGTAGGAATCGAGGTCCTTCTTACCGGGCTTGGTCTTGGCCATCAGCTGAAACCTCTTGTGTGATATCAAATCGAACAACTTGCTGTCTCCTGCGTTGATGATGGGGAAGGATAGCTTTTGGATCTCCTACTTTGGTGGTGGGTGTAGAGAGAGAAGATGGGAACGATGGGGCAATGGAAACCCTAAAGTGACGAGAGAGGAGAGAGAGAATACTGTGCGGTTTCGCCCAGACAAACTGAAGTTGGCCTCCGTGAGAGTATCTGGTCTGGTAATTATATATATATATATATATATATATATATATATTAGAGATTACAATCTATATTTACAATTTCATATTAGTAATTTTAATATTATTAACTATATATATATATATATATCATCAATTAAGAACTTAATTCTAATAAAATCTTCTTACTCCTCATCTATTTTTTTTTTCTCTTTTCTTTCTCTCAATGAGATGACATAAAATAATAAAAAATAATAATATGAAACAATATGAAGATCGAAGAGGAGGTAAAGAAAGTCAACGACAGCAGCATGTGGGGTGGAAAAAATAAAAGAGAAAAATAAAATAAAATTAAAATGATTATAAATAATAAAAATATTATTTTATTAATTTATTAAAAAATTATGAATAATGTGAAAGTTTTGAATAATAAGAAAGAGATTCTAATAGTAAGTTGCTTTAGTTTTTCTCAAATAATACTTTAAATTCATAAAATAGCGAAACTATTCCTTCACAAGCGTTATTCCATTATTCATTTTTATTGTCGTCAGGAAAAGAGAGAGAGAAGAGAAAGGTACCCACCTTTGCGGCTACTCATTGTCGTCACTCGTCACCCATAAGAGAAAAATGGGATGCGAAGGGAAGGAAAAGATTATATTTAATATGCACTCCCAGATAGAATAATCATAATTTTTCAAATCTAAAATTACCTCCTCAACTTAGAAAAAGAAATAATAGTGATGCTATTTATTATAGATTCCATTTCCAACAAGATTACATGACATTGTAGCGTATATGACAACTCCTTTCCCTACTCAACCATTCATATCTCTTCTAAGCCCAAAGTGCTATCTCCAACCTCCATATTGTTTTTTCTTTTAATGCTTTGGGCTTATAAGTGTATATTTCACTCATGAAATAACATCTGGTAAGTTCTTGATGATGACTTGCATACCAGAGTTACATCTTCAAGAAACAGAATAAGTCACCACATTAGGAACTGATCCTGCAATATTGGTGTTCTGAAGGTTTTATTACCACCACAGTTGAGGAATCTTAGCTTGCAGGAATAGTAAATGACATTTCATGTATTCCACTTCAGGCTGAAAGGATCAATATTTTATTTTGTAGGGAAACACAAACCAATACCAACTCATAGTTTGCAGTATATACAAGATCGCGTCACAGTTTGCTCTTAGCTTGTTCAACAGAAGTGCTGATGGCTTCTGTCGCAGCGAAAAGAGTAGGGTGGAGTGTGTAATTTGAGGGGACCAAATAACCTGGTTCATAGGATACAACAAAGAAGTGAATTATAAATTCTGCAAGATATTGGATTCTAGCAAACCAGTCCTGTCTCAATCTCCTCATGGGAGATTCATTTCTCGGCAAAAGGTCTTCATGATATCTCCCAGCCAGAGTAGTGAGAAGAAACTTGAGAGTAATTATCTCCATAATCTACCTTCTACCAAATTCCGTATATATCAATTCCCTCACACATCATATACAGATTCCTGAATTTATAAGGACACAGGAAACCATTAGTAATCATTCAACAATGAAGTCAAAGGAAAAACGATATTGAAGAAATGGATTATGATCGTAAGCTGATGTGAAAAAGCTACTCTCTGTTTAGCTTGGACAAGAAATTGCATTATGGGAAGTTAATGCCATAACTACCTAAATGCAATTTCGTACCTGACTAAAAACACATGTCTGAACTTGCATACATACTCACGCAGAAAATACAAAAAGAATTTTGCGAATGAAAGGGTGATAGTTAGCATCTACCTAATATCTTGTGATGCCAATTTTGCTACTTGTGTCGATATGCATGGGTAATTGCATTCTCATGAGTCGCACTCTTTAGCATTTTAATTGGAGTAGCTTCTGGACTCGCGCTTGACTGAGGAATAATCTCTGCTAATGGATTGACAACAAGTCCACCTTGGACTCCGAGCCTCCGCTTATCCCACTTGTGGGAACCTCTAGTTTCCATCTCAGTTAGGTTCTGTACTTCTGAAGTGGAGAACCTAGAGGAACTTCTGCCTTCAGTCCTCCTCCAAAATTTTGCGCATAAGAATTCAGCACCGGGTAATCTGCAGCATGTATTTGCTGCAGAGTCATTATTTGCAATCCTTCCTGCAGATAATGCCAAATTATGGGAAATCTCATCCAGTGCCATCTCGAGGCCATGGACTCTTGTTTCCAGAGAATGGAGTCCATTTTGGGAGTTGCCAATGAATTTCTGCAAGATGAAAACATCCTTTAGAATTGTTATCTTAGAAAAAATGGAATTCCTTGATTGCAGAAGAACAATAAATATGCCAAAGTAGCATAAAACACAACAGACAGTGGTTAGCAAAAATACAGGATATCTTTAAGCGCCAAGGACTAAAAATGAAGCAAGAAAAACATGGCATACGAAGAATGAAAGCTGAATGCTTACTCAACCTTCTGTAGATATTTATCATACTCAACACTGGCAAGTATAATCTTCACAATGATGCCATCATTCTAGTGTTACAGCCATGAGTGACAACAAACTCAGCCCTACGCTGGTACAAACTCATGGCATTTAACCTCTTATCAGTGTATATCATCAGTCAGCTATGACCTACATTAAATAAAACTCTATTGGTAGTTTTCTAATTCTTATCAGCATCATAGTATAATACCATCTATTGTGCTATATTTTCTCATCCAGACATCGACCAATAAAAAACATCTACGGTCATGATTTATCTTGTTACTTATAAGCAATTCTGGTGAAATGTTTAACTGCAAGGAGAGAAATTGGTTTATTACCCTTGTTATTATTTTTTTCTTTCTTGAAATGTTTAATGCAAGTCTTTCATAGGGTTATTATTCAAAAGAATTTTAAGTAGGTAGAGGGTAAATTGGATAAAATAGAAATCGAGGAAATCAAAGCGATAAATGTAACTGCAACAAATTACATATTTAAAGAAACGTCGTCTTTGGTTGGAGTATATAGTAAGATATAAATTATTTTACCCCTTTGGAGGATTATTTTGACCCAGACTTTCCAAAATGAACTCGCTTTATTGAATTAAAATAGCCAGCCTAGCTTTGCAGCATTTGACAGATTAAACTAAAAAGTCTTAAACCCAAATACAAGCTTAGCCAAAAAGATGAAGAGACTACATGGATGAGGAAGATCTGCATGCTTATACTTTAGACCACAAGCATAAGATATCACATTGAGTACCAAAACTCGATTTGAAAAACCTGCCTCTTAGTATTTTTTAACACATCTTAATCTCCAATCATCTTATTATGTATTTGTTTAACTAAGATAGTGGTACTCCAAGATTTAAATGTAATCCATAAATTGATTAGCCAACAGTCTACTTGATTCATCATAGCTAAGGCAAATATTGAACATGATTGGTCCTAAGCTAAGGTTAACAAATTGTAGAGTTAAAATTGTGTACCTTTATCATACTAGCGCTACTTTTCAGTAAACTGTCCTGATCACAACAAAATACTAAATCCCAGATGATGCTTTTTCTAGATCGTGAATTTGACTCTTTATCAATACATTGTTCATAAGAAAATAAGACATGCTCTTGAATTTCTTTAAATTCATTTAGTACCAGGCAATAGGGAAAATTTATAGATTGTGATCTGCTTTCTTATATATCACATGCAAACTCCAAATAATTCTGCTAACTTCAGTCATCATGAAACTGGCAGTTTTTACAGTAAAGATTAGCTTGCAGCTTAATGTATTAACATCTAAAACATTAACAAAGAGTTTATGAATCTGAACCTATGCTTTTTTAGGAGTTTCCTGCAAAACCTGTATTGAGTAGTAGAACTAAGCTAGATAATAAAGTCATCCTACATGACTACAGAGTTTATAAGAACCCTTAAATAGCTTATTTAGACTTGGAGCAACCAGACTCCATTGAGTTTGTTCGATGAGGATAAATCCCTACTCTTCATGTAAAATCAAATAAATACTACCTACCAATGATTAGTTCATCTGTGATATTTGTGAATAGAGTTCCTTTACGTTAGGAAAAAGTCCATCTGTCGGAAAGATTTCTAACCAACTGTTTCTGGCATCAAGGTTCTTGAACACCATTAATTGTCAAGTTCTCTTACGACACCACAGAATCCACCCTTTTCAATTTTGTTTCCATTATGAAGTGTTGCACGTCTTTGGAAATACATGTTTCTGATAATTCACACTCATGATGCATACCTTCGGTAGCCAGAAAATTTACAAGTTCACAATAAAGCCACATCAAAACTTTTTTGGAATCCTGGCATGCTGAAACTTAGTTAAAAAAAATGTCTCGTGTGTATGTATGTGCCGTATATGTGCATCTATGTATATGTACACGTGTACGACATGTTAGATTAAGATGGGACTGCTTTGAGTGGCCAACAAAAGGCGATGCCACAATGATTTAGATAATGAATTTTTTGACAAATTATTCACAACATTCTTATGTTATTGATAATTTACAAGAAATAATAGTATTTGAAATGTGTGATTCATATTTATCAAGAGAAGTGATGTTAATAATACAACTAGGCATCAAAAGGAAAGAAAATCAATCAGTAGCATATTTTGACTGCTACCCATTTTATCTTCACCAAGAACAGACCACTTGAATGCACAACAATAGAGCACACATATTTAAGTTCTGATTAGCAACGAATAATGGGGTTTTACTTAAATACCAGAAAGGCAAACCTATGCTGCTAATCGTACTCATTGGAATATACATGGACATGCAAACTGATAAACTCGCAGCAACAACACTCAGACTAACAAATATAAGAAGACATCCTAATTGAGAGGAAAACGATTTCGCATATGAAAGTGAGCTACCTGGAGAAGTTCTAATAGATTGGACTGTTGGTTCTCAATTTGAACCAACTGCATCCGAATCAAAGATAGATCACTATCCTTGTGCCCGGCATTTAGTTCATCATCTTTAGTGTTAGCCCCCACAGTTGATTCCAAGCTCCCAGTCTCCTGAAGTGGAACCATACGTGATGCTGATTTTAACCCAGCTAACTTATTCCCCGTGTCCTCATGGTTCCTCTCAAACAGCATCCGCCGTGTTTCTAACCTGGATCTGAGATTGCCCTCTGATCCTCCATGTTCACGAATGTTATGAAGCTTTTCATCGTTCACAACTTCTCCTGGAGCACCGGCAATAGAGATTTCCACCCTCCAATTAGAGGGCCTTCGTTCATCCTTGTGGAACAAAGGTGGAGACAATTTCTTGTTCCTGATTGAAGGAACATTCTTTCTCGGTGTTGGGATCGGTAAGGCAGCAGGCGGAGGTGACCTGCTCGAAGAGAATCTTTTTGCAGACGGTATTGAACCAGAGCCGAGAGAAGCAGCTGGAATTGGAAGTACACAACCAATGATTAAAAACCTCTGTTTGGGATTTCGCATAGACCGGATTGAAGCAATATCAACAAAAAAGGTTGAAAATTTTGGCCTTGAATTGATCTATAGAAGAGACAAGGGGCTGATTCATCACCTTTGGGAGAAGGTTTGGGCTGCGACTGAGCAATGAGATTGCTTTCAGGGACTTCAGGAATATCCTTCCAAACATCCAGCATCCGAGTCATTGAATCTCTGACAATTTTCACCTGCATTTCAAGAATCGATCATACTTTAGGTGAATCAAGAGAGACACAAGGCACCAAATTTAGCAGCAGTCTCAGACAAGTGATCTTTGCTCCCGACCTTATCGAACTTCCTCGATTCGAACGAAGAGAGGCAGGACGACCTGAATCCGGTCAACAGATCCTTCTCTCTGATGGCAAGAACGGAGAGTGACTCGGCGGCCGCCTTCCTCGAGGCCCAGTCGTCGCATGCGAGGGACTCCACGAGACAGGGGACGAGCAGCGCGAGGAGAGAGGCCGTCCCGGCGCCACCGGCGCCGGCGGCGCTGCCTAGAAGGGATAGCAGGGATGACTTAGCCTTAAACGCGTTGCTCCTTAGGAGCTTCACTAGACGGGGGAGGAGCCGCTGGAGGTGGTAGGCGAGATCGGGGTCCAAGGCGGTGGCCGCGGCGGTGTCGATGGCGGCGGCGAGGGAGAGGGCAGCGGCGATCTGAGCGCACTGGTCCTGCTCGTGAAGGAGGGCGTCAGTGAGGGGGCGGAGGAGGACGGCGACGAGGGCGGGCGGGTGTGCGGCGGCCATGGAGCGGACGGCGTCGACGCAGGCGGCGCGGACGGAGGAGTCCGGGTCGCGAAGCCGCCGGAGGGCGGCGGCTAGCATGCGGGGGAGGTGGGGAGCGACGGCGGCGGGAGGGTGGGAGTGGGAGAGGAGTGACAGTAGGCGGAGGGAGTGACGCCGGAGCGGCGTCTTGTCGGTCGGCCGCGCGTCAGCGATGGCGGAGAGGAATGGCGGGAAGGCGTCGGCCGTGAGCTCCCTCGCTATGGCATCGAGCTCGGTGGCGGCCATGGCCTCCGTGTCACGGTCCGACAGCTTCATCATGCAGCGGTTGACACGCTGCCTCACCCCCTCCTCATTGCTGCCACCCTGCTGCTGCTGCAGAGCTTTGGAAGCCATTCTCGAACTTCTGCGGCTGCCGGTGTTGTCTGTTCTCGATATCTTTTGGCTCTATAGATATATACCAACGAAATGCTCCTCTTCACATTGTTGCCTTGTGCAATGCATGATGGTATGATGATGATGCAGGAAGGAGAAAGAGTAAGAAGGAAGAGTCTTGCATTGCTAGGGGGTTGAGGGAGTGGGAAAAGAGAGGAGGGTGAGTTGGGAAGCTGTGGGGATAGAGAGAGAGAGAGAGAGAGAGAGAGAGAGAGAGAGAGAGAGAGAGAGAGAGAGAGAGAGTACGTAGTA